CGATTGCTTTTCCGGGGGGGGGGGGGGGGAGGTCTGTCTCCGCGGCCTAGTCCAGATCGGGCCACAGGTTGGCACCGGGCCGCGGACTGGGGGTTGGGAACCTCTGCTCTAGCAAATCAACTACTGTACTGTACATCTTCAGGAGCAAATCCTAGGAAAATAAAACCAGAGGGTTTTGAACAGAAGCAAGGAGCCCCAGTCAGTCAAAATTCCATCATTTTTCATTGCTAGAGGTAGATTGGGCAACCCGCTATGCATGTCTCTGTCAGTCCTGCAATCTTGTTGACTTTTGTCAGTCCTTTAGGGATTTGAAAGCTCGATTGTTTAATTCCAATCTCACTGTGCCAAAAGGTGGCCCTTGGGGTGTGTGTGAACGGAGGTGCACAGAAACCTGACTCTCAGGTTAACCACACAGAATCTCCTTGAAGGTAAATGCTTTCTTTGTATGTTTCTTTTTAGGCACATTGGAAGGGACTCGCCCTCACAGTAGGAATCTTCTGATGAGAATGCCTTGAATTTCAAAAAATAGAAAGCAGGAGAAATATTGCTACATTAGTACATCTACGTAGCAGACAAAAAGGTAAGGGGATGAAAGCACAGATTTGGGTTGTCAAACAAAGATGTTAGCAACATTTGAGAAGTGTTGCTATAGTGCAGTGGTAGATACTTCCCCCTGCTGTTCTTCGTAGGGAGTGGGTGACATTCTTGGGGAGGTCACATCCTGTTCCTGTTATGCTCTCTTTGTGGAGCTGTCATAAGAAAAAGTTCAGAAAATTCAGCAAATGCCACTGTCAGATAGTTAACTGGAGCTACTTACAGGGAATCACATAACTCACGTTTTTACAAGAGCTCCACTGGATGCTGGTCCATTTCTGGGCACAATTCAAAGTGCTAGTTTTAACCTGTAAAGCCTTAAATTTGGATTCAAGCTACTGGAAATACCACTTCCTTTATGAGCTTGCTTGGATTTTAAAATCTCTCAGTCCCACCACTGTTACCCAAGCAAGGGTCTTTTCTGTCAATGCTTCCAAGCTGCTTCCAAGCTGCAGTAACTGGCTGCCTAAGAGAAGCCACGGATCAGAGGAGTTGATCATCTCCCCAATGCCATTTAACACCTATATGAGGTGGCTTCCAGAGGGCATCTGGACATTTGGAGTGTCTTGTCATCAATATACTGATGAGATGCAGCTCTAGCTCTCCTTTTCCTTGTCAGCAAGGAAAGCGATGGAGACCCTAGAGTGCCACCTGACCTCAGTTATGGACTGGACAAGGACTAAAATTGAATCCAGACAAGACGGAGATCTTCTTAGATGGAGGCCCAGACCGGCATTTTGCCTGCTCTGGACAGAAAAGAGAGAGTGTGTGTGTACACACACATTCCCACCCACTCATTTATTTATTTTATTACCCACACAATCACCTCAAAGGGAATTCTGCCTGAGGGAGTGAGAGGGATTCCCTTCGCCTTGTTAGAAACAAAGAAGGGAACTGAACAGTGTAAGCCTCCATGTTTTGACACCTA